TCTTGACCCAAAATTCATGTTAAAAAATGCTGCGAATTCTTACATGGTGTTAAAGTTTAGTGACCATTCAAAGACATTTTAAAGTTTAGTATGTAAAATATGATGGTGATATAAGCTGAGTGACAAATGAAATATTTAACTCCAAAAAGAAGGTTAACAGAAATCAATTCTTTAAGGTGATATGAGGAGCCCTTTTTTTGTGAAAAAGGGAATGAAACGAGTAAACAGGTAAGAAGGTTAATGAGCTAATTATGCATATTTTATGGTAATTAACTAATAAGACCCATTATTTATTCTAATAATTTATTTGAGTCTTAAATTGGTCCCATTAGTTTATTAATCTTTATTTCTGTTGTCCAATTTTTATTTTTGAATTAATTTACCCCAAAATATTCTTTTTAAGAAATAAAATAACTCGACGTCTAGGCTAAATCTAAAAAACAAAACAAGTTAAAAACACGTAATAAAATAAAAATATTGTACAATAATTAGCTAAAATTAAAAACATATTCAATTTAAATTAATGGACACGTCGATCGTCTAGGGCATCAAGTCATATGTAATAAATATACTTAATCACGACGAGAATAATTATATTAACTAAACAATAAATATAACGTTAATATAATCTAGACACACGAGTAATAATAATGAAAAAAAAAAAAAAAGGCACGCAACATTACATTTTAAGTCCAATTTTACTACAGAAGATGGAATCTTACGGTAAGCTACGTAAGACAGCTTGAATAGAAATTTTAACTTCAATAATGCAGAGATCTCCAACTAAAAATCCTCCTAGTTCCATATTAGCGATTGGAATGCAACGAGGCCATCCCCATCTGCTGCTAGAAGCCGACAACCAGTGATTGACTACAAAAATATTGAATTCAAATATCATGATAACATTAGTAACATAAAGTTCAGCAACAGAAGAAAGTTGTCATCTTACATTGATACTCGCAGTCGCGATCGCCAAATGATCTAGACTGGTTCTTTATGCATATGGAGCCATCAGCCTTAACTTTTTCACCAGAGGAAAATTCTTGTTTATCCAAGAAAATGGAAACACGACTTCCCTTTTGTGCTTCATAATCTTTCAGTTGAAAAATTGATAAGTCTCGTAAGATATACAAAGAATAGTGACTGATTCAGACAA